TGGTGAGCCCACACCAGGTGTAACCATCTTTGACATGACTGGGCGAGCCCTCACCAGGCATTACTTTCATGACTGCTACAGACATTGTAGTTTTCCTTGTACATGTACTTGACTTTTTTCCATACTCATGCTTTCACTCCTTGAAAATGCATACCGTACATAGTTACAGCATTAATTCTAGGGTCAAGCTTTTACAATAACAAGCACTCTGTGAAAATCTCTAAACTAGCAGGTAACTGTAATTAATTAAAGACTGCTCTATGGAATGAAGTCATGATTCAACCTGTAATTTCTTAATCATGTTAATCTTCATTGATCAAATTGCCGATTCTTTCAATCCTAATTTTTACCTAAAGTTTAATTGATCATAATATTGAAACAATCTATCTGTGATCATTAACTGCTACACGCAAATACAACACCCAGCATCCATTTGTACCTGTACCTTACAGTAGGCTTCGTCTTTATGTCTTTGTCATAATCAACTTATTTTCTCAAGGTTTTGTTTATGGTATGGTGTATTTAATGAGTGTAACCACATTGAACTTTCAGGCCTAGACAAAAAAAAAGGGTTTTGCTCAGCAGAAATATATACCTGCACAATACCACAAAGAGACATTTAAACATGTAATTACACATGCATTTCAAGTAAGGTTCATGAGCATAAATAATACACATTTCCTTTTCCTTTTTGGGGGGTCGGAGAGACACTTATTCTGACTATGACTGCCAATATTTAGAAGCAACTCCCAGTACAGCTTTCATTTTTCTCTTCCTCCTTTCCATTTACAATTTGGCGTATTTCTACGCATGTACATATACATGTACACGTACATTGCAACAAAATAATGCAATCCCACATGTACATGTAGGTGCGAGAGACTGTGGACAAATTGTACTAAATGAATGGATGAATGGCCAACAAGTTTATAACTACCTGTTCATGTGACGTGGAAGTTTTAATTTCTGACATGCAATTAGAACATTTGGCCAACAATTTTATAACTACATGTACATGTTACATGGGCCTTTTTCTACATGCAGTAGCATAACTAAGGGGGAAAGTTGGGGGCATGGCTCCTCCCCCTGCTCAAGGCCTGTGCGCCCCCCGTCAAAAAAATGGAGAGGCAAAACTCTGATGATGGTCCGTTTTGCTCAGTTTTTAACTGACTAACCCCACTCAGTCACCCCCGAGGTGCCCCCTCACAAAATGTACTCCAGTTAGTAGCCACTGTCCATGTGGCACAAACTCTTGATTTCAGCCCTCTAATGATTGAAAACGGCTCCTACATGGATTAAAGAGACTTGGCACTTCACAAAGTGTAAGACAAGTGCTCTTGATAAAGTGCAGTGGGGTCTTGAGATGTATACATGTACAGAAATGTACAGCTGAAGACAAAACATTTCACTGAATTTGCACAGAGCAACGGTTCAATCCTACAACTGAACATTGAACTACATTTTCCCACCCTGGGTGATTACCAGCAAGTACCAGGTTGCTACACGATTCTCCCCAATTAATCAATATGTACAAAACCCATGTTGAGCCTCCTGAACTTTGATAGACTACATGTTCATGGTAATAGTTTACACCAGGATCCATACACAGAGAGTAGCATAAATACATCTGTAAATCAAAACCATGCCAATCAACGCTTCCGAAGTCGAATCATGTTTCCTCAAACTTATCTGGTTCCGTTACAAAATAATCTTCTTCAGAAAAATGTATACAGAATTTTCTACTTGCCTCATGGAGGACTCAAAGCAATACGTCTGATTACAGAATGGTACAGAAAGCTTGCTGTGCTGCATCCTGATTGAATGATGCAGTGTCAGGGAGCTGGCCAGAGGTATACTGACAGTCAGTGACATCTGGGCTGTCTGGATAACCAGTAACATCCACTATGGAAACACTGGCATCATGGCTCTCTTCCTGTAAATGCATGTACAATACACATACATGTACATACAGAATTAAACTGTGCTTTAACTACTTGCTGCCGGGAACCCCGTTTCGGGCACCATGGGTTTGTACGCAGAGCTGGGCTGCCCAAAATTGGACAAAAGAGCTGGTCCTTGCAACAAAAGACTGTACTCTGAACAAAAGACCTGCTGCCGGGAATTGCCATCATTTTTCGGCTTGCATTCTAAGGTTATCCGTCACTGTTTTTAAACAGTATACCACTGTTTGGGGCACAGCATGCCTGCGGATTAGCACCATGGACAAAAGTGCTTCGGGGCCCCATTGATGAGTGACACAGCACCGCTGCACACTACTCCAGCCGCGTTTGAAAAAATGCCACTTGCATTCACTGGGAACAAAGGAAATTACGCTCTCTTTACAGGGCGGCGGGCCTGGCTCAAATACTCATGAGTCAATGGAGGTTGCCTTTCAGCTTAGAGTAGTCACCAAACGGTCATTCATGTTGGTGTATATGTCCATTAAATGAAATGATGAATTTTTGAAGAATTTTGAAAACTGAAAATCTTGAAAATGGCCTGTACATGCAGGACATGTATGTGTGCACTGCATTTTTAAAAACACCCGGCAGCAAGCAGTTAAGTAATGAAGGCCAGTAAAGAGTGGAGCTTGACAGGGTGTCCTACAAATGCATCAGTAAGAAAAACCTTTACAGCGAGAAGCTACATACATGTACCACAGGTTCATTTTGGTGCTACCTGATAGTTTGTTCACTGCGCATGCCTAACTAACTGAAGTGATGCAAAATGCCAATTGCCACATGTGAAATGCAATGAGTAATGGAGCAATTTACATGGAACTTAGTTTTAACGTTTCCTCTGAAAGCAAGTCTTTAATAAAAATTGATTCAACAAGAACACAGATGATTATATTCCATGTGATCTTATTCATGTTTTATGTCATTGGCACGGCATTTATCCATTGTCATTGGAATACCTTCTCCTTTGATTTGTTATCTATAGTGGAACGTTGCTATGACACTGCTATACCAGTACCGAACATCCCCTTTGGCTCACGATTTTCTGTACACTTTTACTGAACATTAAAAATTTGTTTTGAATAAAAGAAACATTTTGAATTGCTGGTAATAACTCCAAGTTGAGGAAACTGCACTCATGATGGAACAATGGCCAACATGTGGTACCGTTTACAATGCAAGTATTGTTGATGGGTAGCCTACATAGCAATTGCAGGGGTGAGGTTGACCAATGATAAAATGATTTGACCTCAAAACATAAATATGCAGAGTGACCCCAGCATTTGTTACTGAACATGTACTTACCTTGCAGAAATTTTCAATAAATACCTTGCTACTGTAGTTTGGATGTTTTTTTTTAAATTGCTTTGCTGACATTTCATTGCTGACTGTGCATGTAGATCTAGGCATGAAATCCACCTCATCCTTGCACCGCTTTCCTCATGCACCCAAGATGAATTATCAGAAAAACCTCACTGGAAGAAACTTAAAGTGAATGTTAGTTACCTGTTTGTTACTTCTGACTTGTAATGGTCCCCGTTGAAGCCTGCGAGGGCGCCCTGTCCTGATGGGTGTATTACCGGGTCCTTGTGGTCTCTTACATCGACGTAGCTCCATCCTCAAGGGATGCAGACTGTCTTTATCATGCTTCCCATCCTGATAAACAAGACAGCCAAGAATCATCGATGATGACTACATGTACAGTGCATGTATGTTGCTTAGTTTTTCGGGTCATACAACCTCATCCAAATGTATCATCAAATCATTATCATTTGCAAACACTCTAGTATGTGGCACTGATGTATGTGGCATTGATAAATGTGTTTATCTGGAAATGTGTGGTCAATTGTCAAGTTCTGCGCATTAATTTGATTACTTTTTCTGCACGCTGCCCATCGCAAGGCACTAAAGGTGAAGGCTACCACTACATAAGATAGAAAAGATGGAACAGAAAAGGGATGAGATGTCAATAGTGACTGAATGGAAAAAGGATGGATTCAAAAGACCGTTTGTCATTCATGTTTCAAGGAATACATGTACTTGCTGATAAAGGCTCTCACTGGCAGCTGCCATTGGATGCTACGATTGTCATTGGTAATGGCTTTTGGTAACTAAGAATATGAATTGTTTAATCTGCTGTCATGCAAAGCCTCTCTTACAGACCTTTATCCTGTGATGTCACGATTGTGCTGGACCTAAGATGTGTTGTGATGGTAATGAGTGCATAGTGTTGTGATGGTAATCTACCTACTCAAGATTAAGTAGTCAAGCATGCAGCGTTGGCACGAGGGCTTGTAGGTCGTTGAAGCTGTCCGTAGGTATATATACGATCACCGTGGCCAATGCGGTCCACACGTGGTGATATTGTTTACATTTAATCACATGGGTGAAAAAGGTCTATTCTGATAAAGGCTGCCCTATCTACATGTGGTAATTAGGAGTGTTCTTCATAAGCAACAATGCCAAAGGCTTAACAAACAAATGAAAATTGGTTGGTTGTGCACAATCTCTGCAGATCTTAATATGAGCTTGCAATGTGTGCTTTCATCACAAAGGTACCACATCATGAACATAATGTACACGTACAAACTACATGTAGAGACTGCTTCTGCACTGCAAACCAAGCATATCACACGTACATAAAATATCAACTAACCTCTGCTTCTGGGTAGTTTCTCATGTTCTTAAGTCTCATGCTGGTTCGCTGTCCAATGTGCCTGACCCTCTTGCCTAATGGGATGCTGTGTCTTGGAGTCTTGGAGCCAGACATGGCATGGTGAGCCTTTCTACTTGATCGCTGTTTGTGCTGGAGTTGTTGTATAGCTCCCTGTAGTGCATCTATCCAAGACAGCGCTATGTTGTGATTGGTGGAGTACAGCAACAGGCTGTTTTCACCATGCACAATCTGGAGATAATGTTGACCAGTGTAAGATACTATGTA